ATATATATGCAATTAACTCAGAGCACTATATGGACGACTATAAAAATTGTTATAGCCTGCCGTTAATCAGGCTAATGCCAGTATAAAAATACTGACAAAAATAAAACGTCCAGCCACTGTCTCGATTAAAATTATTTATCTAAGAGTTGTTTAATTTAATTTTATTAATAGTTTAAAACAACGAATATTTACGAGCCTGCATTTGATTAAAATATTAAAGTCTTTTATAATTCGATAAAGTATAAAATTCCCTTTTTTTATTTTATTGTTTACCAGCGATTCGCCACGGCTTCGCACGGGTGCAATGTACTACTAATGTTGTGTCAGTGTAAAGTAATTAATTATACTATTTTTTGGTAACTACAAGACATCTTAACTACAGGACTACTACGATACTACAGGACATATTTATATGATATTCATAGGCCCGCCCCGTGTGCCGTGCCAATCCAAAAGACAGTGTTTTGCCTAAACAACGCCCAATCAGTTTACGTCTATTTAGTACCCCTGATCAACACTTTTGTTATTCTAAAGTGTATTTTAGAAGCGACTATAATCTAAAAAAATACTGTATTGTATTGAAATTAAGGGTTTAAACATGGTAAAAAAAAATCGGTTGTCTGTAAAGTCGGTTTACTGACGATAGTTGAACGTGACAACGTCATAAGAAAATACTAATCGAATGGTTGCATTTTTCAAAAGAAAATTCACTCAAGTAGGAGAGAGACAGATGTCGAACGCTGCCGATTGTGCCTCTTTGTCGCTCGTTCCGCGCTCTCGCTTGCACTTCAAGCCTTAAATGGAACGCCTCAGAGCGAGGTAACGCCGCATGAGTCATGTTTTTTCGTACGTGCAGCCGGCTCCATCGAATTATAAGACGTTGTCACGTCAAAAACTGTAACAAAGCTTTCAAAGTCAAAAGTTACGGTGTATTGGCCAATACACTGTAACAACAACACACAGCAGCCCGCTCCTGCCCAACGTATCTAACGTATTTAATTAAATAAGGAGTAATAATGTATTGTTTAAAATAGCTTCGTAAATAACGCATTATTTTTTTGTAAAATTTAAAAGATAAAAATCGTTATTGTGGGTGGTTATTCTTAGAAGATAGACATATACCATCGCAGAATTGTTTGTAGATCTTATTGATATATACCTACAACTCCGTAGTACATTATTTTGTTCTATCTCGCCAGCACTTGTAGTGTAAGAGCACAAAAACATGTTTTTTACGACAAATCTTTGATATTCTCGGATTTCTCTACTATAACATTATACACATTATTTAGTTTATTAATAATAATAGTAGTACGTGTGGTGACGGATTAAGAAAACAGCTTGGCACTACCCCCATTCATCCCGTGGGTGTCGTAAGAGCCGACTAAGGGAGCAAACTAGGCAGGAAAAGAGCACTGCAAAGAGAAGGAAAACTTGACACAAACCCTATACCAACCCGTCTGGCCAGCGTGGTATAGTAGGCCAAAACCTCCTTTCTAAGGAGGCCTATGTCCAGCAGTGGACTGTTAAAGTAGTAACACATAATACATACACATTCAATAAAACAGTTTTTTTAAAGTCTACATAAAAATACACCCAGACACAGAACGAATGATCGTGATCCAAGTGTCGTCCCATGTGTGGGGATCGGAAGCGTAGTGTTGTGGGTCCGATCTCCCCCGGTCCGATGGACCGCTTAAACAACTCCGTGCAATCGATTTGCAGTTTATGATCTTGCAAATTAATGTAATTAATGTAATGTAAATTAATGTTAACTATATGGCATATATTTAAGATGTCAAAGTTACAGCTACAGTCCCTAGGGCATTCCCACGTTCCCTTATCGTTCGCCCACATCACATAAACAATATGATATTATTTTTACACGACACCTTTTATTTTAATTTAACACTAAACCGTACCGTTAGACACTTTAAGTAGGGTGCGTATCATTTGTGACTTATAATTTGCTTTATTAATTAAATAGGCGAATACAATAAAAATAGACAACATAAAATTGTACGGCTTGTTTCTACGTCGAATTATAGCTGGGAAAATTTTGACGGGCCTGTTGGTCTAGTGGTTAGTGACCCTGACTGCTAAGCCGGAGGTGGTGGGGTCGATTTCCACCCAAGACAAATATTTGTGTGATGAGCACGATCATTTGTTCTGTGTCTGGGTGTAATTTATCTATAATATGTATGTATTTAGAAATATATAAGTATACTAGCGGACCCGACAGACGTTGTCCTGTCAAATTTGACACTGCGATGGTAGCGCCGTCTGTCGGATCCAATGTAAAACATTCCAAAATCAACAACTACTAATAAATTAAAAATTAATTAAAAAAACATTGTCCAGCGGACAAAATTGTGAATCTAAACCATTCCCAGATCCCCTTGAACACACACAAAAAATTTCATCAAAATCGGTCCATTCGTTTGAGAGAAGTTCAGTGACATACACACTCACAGAAGAATTATATATATAAAGATTTATCAGCAGTCTGGTTACCATAGTAGAGGCTCTGCCTAGTTTGGGATCAGACGGCCGTGTGTGAGATGTGTAAAGTTATTATTATTATTATCTTTATTTCATTCTTTATATATATAAATTAATTTTTTATATATATTTATATACAAAAACAAAAAAATATATATTTAAAAATATAAAAAATAGTATCCCATCGGTATCGGGTGCAGGGACCAAGATATCGGTGGTTAGGACTCCAGAATCAGAAACTTCCTCGCAATACGTTCCGTATTGAGGAGAGCTGCTTTCTGCATCAGACCCTTAATCCAACTGCCTAACGCGAGCCTCTGAAGATGTTGGTCGAGGCTCTTAGCAACTAATCCATGGGCCGATATGACTATCGGTACAATGATTGCCGAATCAACAATCAATTATTATTATTATTATATATTAAGTAATATAGACAACCTGAGCAAAGATCATTAGTGTGTGTTTTCCTGCATCGGATAAAGTATAAATATTTAGATTCAAAATGCTCTATAATAATCATTATTAACTATTAAGTGAAATACAAAAGTTTTAAATCGCACTCAGACGAATAGTGTTATATTATGTATCAGCTGGTACCCGCGACTTCGTTCTTGTGGAATTTAAAAAGCGCTGCCTTAGGGTTCGAATTCCCGAACTGGTCAAAATTTTATAGGGTTTTTTCTGAAAGGAAAAATGCCCAGTAACTTTTATTTTTGGTCCACAAATTGGATGTGACAACATATATACAAGAAATTTTACAAAAATGTTATGTGCCCACCTCAGGTTATTGAGTGGTCATGTTTAAGTGATGGAATACAATATTATTAAAAGAATAATAAATAAGAATAAAAATTTAAATAAAATACTGACAATATGCTACCAAACATGGAATAATAAAAAAGTTTGAAACAGAGAAGAACTTCTTATATAGACAGCAGTAAAATATTATCAAAATCGGGCCAGCCGTTTAGAAGGTTACCCGGAACAAACAGATAGACAGACAAAAAACAATTAAACTGATTTTTAAGCATAGGTATAAATAATAGGTGCAAATAACCGTGTGAGCATGAAAAAATCCTATTATTTTGACATTACAAGCAGACACTGAAATTTTATTTATTTGTATGTGTCTACTTTTAATCTACATTCATAATATCTACATTCATAATATATACAAAATGTTTGCTAAGTCAGAACTTATCCTTAATTCACATAAACGTTCTTGACAGCATAGGTCGAAGGTTAAGCTTCGCATAATGTATGAAGGTCACAGATTTGATTCCCGACGGGGAGTTTTATGACATTGTGTCTGGTGAGCTCTCTACAGGATATTAGTGAATAAACCTAAAATGACTTGCAAAATATTTATGATATAAAAAAGGTCATTTTTGTCTAATTAAAAAAAAACATTTGATACGAAGTTAATCTCATGACCAGCACTGGACCGACCATTCAAAATGTCAGAACAAGTTGCAAGCATTTTCATAGGTACCATAACTTTTTCCGTGTAGTGACGGATTTAGAATACGGAATGTCACTACCCCAATTCACCCCGTGGGTGTCGTAAGAATCGACTAAGGGCGCAAACAACGCAGGACACCAGCACTGCAAAAAGAAGGAAAACTAGACATAAACCCTATACCAACCCGTCTATCCTGCGTGGTATAGTAGGCTAAAGGAGAGGCCTATGTCCAGCATTAAAGGCCGTTGATGATGATGCGATAACTTTAATTTCGTGTTGTGGCCTTTTTGTTATTGAGGCCATTGTGAGCTATTTCTTCGCTCAATAAGCATTTCCAGTATTTGACAGTAACATATACATATAGTTACCTACCTTTTATATTCCTACATACATAATCTTCATTAATATTTAATGCATATCTTGTGTGCTTCGTTCTTCCTGTTTATTTTAGCTAAGATTTATACAATTTCGCTTACCTTCTCAGTCTTAATCTCTTTAGTTCAGGTACCTCCGAACATAAATTTGCCATGTGATATGTATCTCCTTCCGTGTGGTGACGGATTAAGAATACGGAGTGTCACCACCCCTATCCATGGGTATCGTAAAAGACGACTAGCAAACTACTCAGGACAACAGCACTGCAAAGAAAAGGAAAACTTGAAACAAATCCTATACCAACCCGTCTGGCCAGCGTGGTATAGTAGACCAAAACCTCCTTTCTAAGGAGAGGCCTATGCCCAACAGTGGACTGTTAAAGGCTGTTGATGATGATGATGATAATGAAACTCAACACGCGGCATAGTCCAGTTTTTGTAAATCATCAGTTCGAAAATTCTTTATATTGAAAAATAAATATTATAGTTAATATTTTAGCTACGTTAGTTCCCTGCTAACCGAATTTACTTGAAAAAAAAATCATAGTTATAATCAAATAAGTTCTTCTTTAGGCGGTATGCACTTTAAAACTGCGTTTAGACTAAACATTTCGATCTTTTTTCAGATTTCTAACACCTACGGCTAAAGTAAAGTTTTCCAAATGGTAGCATTCAGCAAAGATGTGTTCGACACCATATGCAGAGACAAAACATGCGATTCGCTGGTACATCCCTGGACAAAAGGATGCTTTAAAGCAGCTCTAATGATCTACGCTTCTTCCATTGTTGGCAGTGCCAAGTTCTATTCTCTAGTTTATCTCGTGAGTAATTAGATTATATTTTATTTCGATAACCTAGGATTTTGAGCTTCGTTAATCGTTAATAGGTTCGTTAATAGGTTCTAAGTTTGATATATATTGACGGCTATTTAGTGCCCGATACGGTTCTCCAAAACAAGAATTAATATACTTCTGCTTGTCTTTTAATTAACAAAAAATATTTAATACAATTAAACGAACTTTACGAAAAAAATATATTTTTTAACTGCTTCTCCTGCTTTAGGAATATATCCTGTCTCGTGGGGGACTTTACATACATACATGAAACGGACACAAATATATTACAGACGAAGGCATAAGAACTTTTAAATTTAAAATTTTTCTTAGGTCTATTGAATTCGTTTTGGGGAGTGTCAAGGAACCACTTGTATGAATATTGTTGGTTTCCTTGTGCATTTAAGGGGTGAGCAGATACGTCTCAAACACTTCTTTTTGATTATTATAATGTATTCTACTCAAGCCGTTATAGGATGCCGTGAGAATTAAACATGAGAAAATTGGACCCATACTTAGGGAGAAAGTTAGGTAAGAAGGGAAGACAATGTAGGTAGATGGACATTGGAAAATAAGCAATAGTCCTCTAAAAACAACATATTCAGTAGAATCATCATTAGCCCATCGCAGTCCACTGTTGGACATAGGCCTCTTCCATTGCACGCCACTTAGATCGATTTTGGTTTTGATCGGTTTTTTGATCGATTCAGTAGAATAAATGGGGATATTTTATATTACATTTTTTTTTCTCAATGTCCCATAGAATCTAGTATAAGTTGCGTAAGCGTTGCATCCATTATTTAGAGAGAGAGAGAGAGAGAAAGATATTATTGTTATGCAAGATTTTGTTTTATTGTAGACAGCTTTGAAGTCAGTTTTAACATTTTAAGTTAAGTTATCTAACGATTTCAGAAAGAAACATAAATAAATTAGATACTTGAAATATTTTTTGTTTCTAACATGCAGTAATATAACTCATCTATAAAAATAATATTTCAGGCTCAAATTTTAATGCGAGGTAAAAAAATGGCCAAAAAGGAAGAATGGATAAAAATGGGCCGATTCTACGTGAGGTCCACTTTGTTAGGACTGCTTGTCTCTGCGGTTGGGCTCCAGCTTATTTGTTTAATTAGGTAAGGTAGGTGAAAACGTATGTATAAAGCTAGATATGAAAACTTTCATTTAGTACTAAATGCTCTGAATATATTCGCAATGAGAAATAATATGCGTGTTAAAATTTAAAAGTAATATAAAATCTACTAAAACAAGTATTCAGTATTAAGCTGATCTGTCATGGTACAAATAATCTATAAAAAAGATAATTTAAGTTCTAAACTGGTCCTGCAATAAACCAGAGCATTCAAAATTTTTTTATTTAAAATATTTTAGGAAATACTGAAGAAGGTTTTTAATCCAGATCTTAATATTATTATTACGTTTTTCAGGAAATTAATTGGCAAATTCACTTACCATTCATGTGTGTTGATACCATATACTTTGAGTGGCATCTTCATATATTTAGAACCACCTGCCAGAAGAGGATTGGTTATTAATCTCTTTTGTAATTTGGTAAGGAATTAAGAAATAGGGTCAATCTAGAAATGGATGTTCGAAAAGTCTAAAAGATTCTACGATCTATTGGTTTTTTTCTTTGAACATCCTTTTCTAGACTTCACAAAAGCTGAAAATAACATTAGTGAGGTACTAATGTTGTCAATTCTTATACTTTTTGCTTTTGTAGTTTATAGATCTTTAGTTTACATTGGAATATATTTTAGGAATTCAAGCTGATTCCTGGCCTATTCAAATGTGATATCCTAGTTCTATTAAATGAAACTTAAGTATTTCTACTTTTTTTATTAACTATTTATATTAAACTACCACCACAATTCACCAGTATTCTTTAAACTAAAAATTATGTTTAAATTACATCTTACTAGAGATAAAAAAAGAACTACTACAAAACTATCAATGTTACCGCATTACTAAAAAAATAGCTTTCAATGTAATTTATAAATCGAATATTTTCTTTTCAAGTTAATCGAATATTTCCTAAGAAGTCTTCAGAGAGCCGGTTACCTATCCATAACTAAATCGAAACAAACACTCATGTTTATGGTAGGCAGCTCCCTACTGTTCTACTTAATGCGCTTGGAGGGGGATAAAGAAGTAAAAACTCCTTTGTTCTGGTAAGTTGAGTTGCTATTTTATTTTTTTGGTACAATATGATATATGGGTATATAAACTTAAACTGAAATATCTTTATTTCATAAAAAAATAAATTTGAAAGTGTCTCTTATGTAGAGTCTAAAGTCATAGATCGACACACACAATAGCAACAATCTCTGTTTTGTCAAATATTTAGCAAACTAAATATATACCTATCGAAAATCTCTTGAAAAAAAAATTGCTATGAATAGTAATATTGTTACTTAGCGCTCAGTAGCTCTTCAACCTATCATTATTCCTTACCTCAATTTACCATCCTTTTATGTTTTGCCTGAAAATTATTATATTACTAAGAAGGGAAGGTGCGGTCATTAAAGAGAGGAGTCCAAAAGTTTTGCAAACGCACTTCTCAAATAAAACAGCGAGAATGCCAGGAATTTTATATTGACTGGTTGCATTTTCTGTTTTTTGTTCATAGAAATGTTGAAATGATTTTAAAACTATGAACAGGGAAAGGAAATACTAATAACAAATGAACAATTAAATAACATTGTCTTCATCATCGTCATCTTCCGTAGGAGATGCTAATTAATAAATAAATAAATAAACATTCGACACAAGATTGCAGTAAATTTTGTCAACTCTGTCAATCCGTTCATCCGTTTGAATCCCAAGTCAGCAGACTTTGACATTAGAAAAAGTAATTTTTGGGTTGATCAGCCTTTCAGAACCATGACATATTTTTTTCATTTTTTGTATTTATTAATCAACTTTTTACACTAGTTATCTTAATACTAAACTCGCCAAACTTTGACGTTTGATGGCGAGATGCGCCTTTTTTATACAGATAACACTAAATTAATATTACGTCCTTCCAAAATTTTACAATATTATATTCTTAAATAATAATTATATATAACATTAACATTATTGCGGACCTATCCCTTGCTGAGTGGGTTCGACGGTCCCCTGGTCATCGAGAAGTAAATCCCTCAATTTAGCACATCTTTGTTTATCTTAGTATTTTTTCTTAATAAGCTAATTTTATAAAAAAATTTAGGTACTAAAAACTTAGACGTTCGTTCTCCGTAATAGTTGGACACCTTCGGTTTAACCAACATATTCTCTCTAAGACTCAATTGGCGTATTCTAAATATCGCACAATATAGTTTTGTCTCCAATGTTCAGGCCACGCCTAACAAACTACAGTTGGCAATGACACCGTGCGATCTTAGTGTGCAATTAGGGAATCAGGCGCATCTAACTAGTTTTATGTAATAAATGTAGGTAAATCGTACCGACAACAGTCGATGTATTTTTTTGCTGTACGTGAAAGGTCTATGGAATGTGACTGCATAGACATTCAATGCCGTTGTAACAATTTGAATTTAAATATACATACGTATGCGAAAAAAAACTTGCATAATATATTTCATTCACACACAGAAATGCAAACTTTAATGACTTAAAATACTTTGTATTGAAAATAAGGTTAATATTGTATACTGTATCGGTGTAATGAGCAATGATTGAAATAAAATTATGTCCGTGTGGTGACGGAATTAAAATTAGATTGTAGGTAACATTCCCTCTTTTTTTATTCTAGTATATTAATCCTTGAGATCATTACCAAAAATATGTTTTAAAGTATGCATGATATACACTAAATTATCATTTCCTTGCTTGTATTTACAAAGATGTGACGTCATGTAGTGTGATAAGCGCGTGTACAATACTTAAATTAAACCTTATAAGCTTAGTTTTATCTTTTGTGTAGTTCATTGGTCGACCTATTTAATCTGTTTGTTTGCTATTTATTTCTAATCATTGTTTGTTCACACATGGAATGGATGAGTTTACCTGGATGACTTGATAAGAGATAAAGTTAAAAGGTCTAAACATCATTTTATCAAGAGATTGGTTTTTTCGATTCAGGTATTGTAATAATTATAAGTATTGAAGATTTGTTGGGCACTGTGAAAGGTCTCAATACTCAGTAAATATATTAGCAACACCCACGCGACTATTGCTATAACCTGTCAAATTCACCAAATAGCAATAGCCGTGATGGTGTGCGTACGACTTTCTTACTTTTTTTTAATCAACCTACTAATGCCCGCTATTTCTAAACGTCTATTAGATTTTTTTTATCAAATGTTGAATTTTTTATCATCTGTTATAGTTTACCACCATGATTAACACAATTAAAAAACAAATTTTGATGTGAAATTGATTGATTGTGATTTGACTTATGTAATTTCGTTCTTCTTCCTAATTGTTCAACTAATGACATTACAATTTCAGGTTCTTCTCGCCAGAAAAAGTGAGAAAAAAGTCTGATGAAAGTCCAAATGTATGTCCACACAACGGAGAGTGTAAAAAACACATATTGAAGGTAATAATTATCATAATGTTCATAGCTCACTATAATAAAGTATCCGCTTAATATAATACCGTAATTGCAACAACGTACCAACTCTAGTTGATATTAATAAATATTAAATGGATAATGGCCGACCGTCTTATGTGCGAAATTAAGTAAATTTCAATCAAAATTTGGCTTACTTAAGTAAACTATCAATACTGTGAAAGTGCCTAACGTTTAACTACTAAATTCCTTGCCGCTGTATAAGTGTGCTATGTTGTTACTATCATTATTCTTTTAGTTGTTTTAAACACGATATATACACATTTAAATGGTCTAAATTTTGAATATGTTATTACCATTTTATCACACTGATGGCTTCGCTTAAAGAGTAACCTATCACTCAGATGGTTTCTTGAAATAAAAGCTGACCTTTTGTTCTTGACTTTGAAAATATTGATGCAATAAAATTAGGAATAGATACTTTAAAATAAGTATGAGAGAATTGAAATTTGATCCGCAATCCGATGTATGACTACCGTCGAAAAAATTGCATGTGGTGTAAATAGTATGTACGAATCCGATGCAGCTAATGCTATAGCACAAGTTAGAATGATCTTCTAATGAAATGCCTGAAATGCATACTATATAATATATACAATAAATGAATACATAAACATAATGTTAGCATACAAAAAATATATGTCGGAAAATGAATGATTTATCATTTATTCTGCTGGCAATATTACTTTGTTGCTGCAGCTTATAGTGTCTATAGTGAATTTGCCTATGTCATAACTAATATCCGTCAGTGGTACTTACGTTATGGGGAACATCTTTTGTGTCCCATTGTCGCCAAGACGTCATCTGCACCGAGTGAGCGCACGATTGATGATAAATCAAGATGGCGAACAAAAATATCCAGCTTGTGGATTTAACTCCTTTTGAATCTGCTACATATAGGTATACTTAATTCTTTTTAAACTTTAATTTAATACTTTAACCCTTAATATCAAACGGGTTAAGAAAAATGAATTTATATAAGCTCCGTTAATTACTTGGCATAAAAAATGTGCTGTTGTGTTGTTTTTCCACTAAATCGTACAAAATCCCTGACCCATCACACCGCCTTCCCCCAAACATTTTTCACAAACATTCGTTAACTTAAATTTACTGTTTTCCTCTTTCAGGGCGCCTCTGCATACTTTGGAATTGGCCTTGGCATTTCCTTGGCGAAGCTCATATTACCACAGATCCGAACTCCTCTGAAGGCTATTTCTACAATAAGAGGAAAACACTTAACACTAGCTTTGTTCTTTAGTAGTTATATCGGTATTTACAGAGTACGATTAATTTAGTCTGTCTTGTATCATTGCTACTTGTTGATATGCATAAATGTTTAAACACCATTTTCTTACGTTAATTTAAATCAAAATATTACTTCTTTCATTTATGCTTGTAACTAAATTGCATTCATAGATCCTCAACAGCCTGTAGTCCACTGCTGGACATAGGCCTCTCCTTAGAAAGGAGGTTTTGGCCCACTATACCAGGGTGGCCAGACAGGTTGGTGTAGGGTTTGTTTCAAGTTTTCCTTCTCTTTGCAGTGCTGATGTCTTGCGTGGTTTGCTCCCTAAGTCGGCTCTTACGATACCCAAGGGATGAATAGGGGTGGTAACATTTCGTATTCCTAATCCGTCACCACACGGATAACACGCAATTCATAAATCATTATTTGCTTATTCAGAAAAAAAAAAAAACCATTTGATTGTCAAACCTATTCTGTGATATTTACACATCTCTGTATAGACCTAAACTAAGCAGAGGATGTTTTATGGAGACTAGAATACCGAACTATTTATCTATATTTAGTTATTTACTATGTATGTATACATATAATAATATATTCTATATATTCTCGAGCGTCGAGCGGCAATCATACCGTTGTGACAGTTGCAGACATTAACTAAATAATTGACCTATCACACAACAAGGCAGCAAACTATGTAGGACAACAGCACTGCAAAGAGACGGAAAACTTGACACGAATCCTGCCAATACCAATTCGTCTGGCCAGGGTGGTAAATTAGGCCAAAAAATCCTCTTTAAGGAGAGGCAACAGTCCAGCAGTAGCCTATTAAAGACTGTTGATGTTGATACTTCAGCGCCATCTAACTAAGACACACCGAACTACCCGGGACATGAAAAGTTCTCGCGTCGGTTAGCATTAACACGACTACCCAACATATTAATGTTCGGGTCGCGGCCTGCTAGACATGATCACTTTGCCTGGTCGGATTCTCTCTTTATGTTGGTTGGTTTACCACTCACGAAAAATTTTACGCTAATTCTTAAAGCTTACTGATATTTATTTCATATTTTAACTTTAAATGTTATTTTTATTCAAAATATTTAATTTTCAGGCAATAATATGCTATTTGTGCCGTAAGAAGGGATTCGATTCAGCTTTCTATGCGTTGCCTGCTGGATATGTAGCTGGACTGTCGTTTCTATTTAATCCAAACTTAGGATTATCAATAGCATCAGTAACTGCAGCCTTAAAGGTAAAAAATAAATGTCTATAAATGCAAGCACTTATTTTATAAAAAAAAAATTATAGGTTCTTTTTTTTCGACGAGGCTAGAGAAGAATTTAACTATTGATATTTTAGATTAAAATGGTCATAATAGACGGTGAATAGTTATACAAGTATATACAGTTAGAGTGTATCTTTAGTATTTTAACGTATGATTGAAACTGTAAAACATGATTTGCATGTTGAATACATTTTTTTGAAAGACCACTCCCGCACTAGGAGTGAATTATGTATAGCAGGGGACTTTACAAACATACATGAAATGGACACAACCGACCGGAGTGATACCACGGCCTCACAGAAAACCGGTGTTAAGCAATTCTTTCGTTGCCTTTCACTGAGTGAGTGAGGTTACCGGAGCCCAAATTATTTGTGCCCAAATTGTGACTTTTGAGTTGCAGGTGTCCATGGGTGGCGGTAGTTGCATACCATCAGGTGACCCGTCTGCTCGTTTGCCCCCTTATACCGTAAAAAAAAACACAAAGCGTTGTTCGAACTCACAATGCTCAGCGCAGTAGCAAGCGGCGAGCTGAACACTTAAACCACTACGCCATCCGTGCAGTCAGAGTTATTTGAGTTACATACATTTATTTTAGTGTGAAATATAATTATATTTGTGAGCATAACGTCAACGCCAAATTTTGCAGATATTCATAATGAGCCAGATATTCATATGGTCATTAGCCTTAGAATGGTAGCTGCCAAGATAGATTCACCTATTGATTCAGTTATGAATGCAGTTGCAGAATCCCTAGAAATTTTTATGCTTAAAACATACCCTTATAGCTTTCAATTGATTAACTCTGGTATGAAAATAAATATTAAACAAGAGCACTGAGAGATTACTTTCAGAAAAAAAACAATACGTTACAATTACATAACACAAAAAAATATACACATATGTACAAATATACTTAAAAAACAATTCGCATATTTCTCCTATGTTTCAATAAAGAATTTGTACGCCACAGCAAGTTTAAAGTTAAAATAATTTTTTTTACAGCTGTATGCAACGATATTGTACGAAAAGAAAATTCTACCTTCTAGCATACCTTTGCCTGAAATAATGTATTGCTTGTGCCAAGGCGTGCTGTTCAGTGCTAGAGTGATGGATCCTGATGTATGCCCTCGCTATGTATTTAATCTCATGGATTCAGTCAGCAATAAAAGGTACGAACATTATTTTTAAGAGAATAAATAAAGATATTCGTAAATAGGTTTCTGTAGGTCTTCGACAAATAACACATTTCCACAATATTTGTAACAAAGTCAATATAATTTATATGTACAGGTAAATAATATATCATATACTCAAAAAGTAATTGTTAAAAATATTTGTAGGGTGGGGTGTTTCTCCTATGCAGCATAGGTCATGCTTTGTAGCAGAGCCGTTCTTCGGCACACAACGGCCGGCTCGACTGGAGCAATTCTTTACGCAAGGTTACCAGATACCTAGCCTCAATCTGAAAAAGAGGGTTACTCAAAGGCCAGCAATGGACTGGTAACTCTTCAATTGAAGCTGCCAATGGGCAACGGTATTTACCGTTAGGTGTTCATATACTCTACGGCCCCATAAGCTGAAGAGGGAACTGGTCTTCTTTTTTCTTTCTTTTCATTTATTTTGGTACAAAACAGTCATTAACATAAAGCAAAAAAAGAGAAGGAGTACCGAATAATGGAGTCTTGAAAAGGAACCGCTCTAAGTCCTTGTCGCCTTTGAGTTTATTCAACATGAGAGAGTATTAACTAGTATGATCATGATTACTAAACGACTTACAGAAAGAAATAATCAATGCCTATTAACGGATAATCCAATGATATGATATGGCAAAAAAGAACTCATATTTTATTTTATTTTTTGTTTCAGATCCCTCCATGTGACTAAAAGTCTCTACGAAACTTTAAAAGTAACATAGTAATAATTAAATTAAAATCTTTATCTTAAATTAAAACCAGTGTCGTGATTATGTGGGTAGTAGTAAAAATCTTGTAGAAATTTATAGGGTTAAATATTTTTTAATTTATTCTGCTGCCGGTTTATTTTGTTAGTGGAAAGTATTAAGACTAATAGAGGGGTTAAAATTATTCAAAGTATCTCATAATTGTGTTTGTTGGATTTTGTTATGTTAATTTAATAAAATTTGTTGCACTATTTAAAAAAAATGTGTTTTTGTTTCATCTTCATAGGTTCCAAAATCACAAGTATCATTAATCTCGAAAATATCTTCGCTTTTTTTTTGACACGGAATTTAAGAAAGTACGTAAATGTAAAAGAAGTCACAAGGTTGTCTGATATCCTATCCCCTTTTTTGGTAGTTTGATAGAGGTATCATCATTAATAGATAAAAGTGATTAATACAACGTTACCATCACAATAAATTCCTAACTTTTTGTAACGGTGACTTTGTAAGTTAAAAAGAAAAAAAAAACAATGAAAAAGTTGGAGTATTGGCCATGCCTAATAACTGATTATTACTTTTCGGCAGTTAGGTTAGGTTGTCTGTCCTGAAGAGACTCCATACTAATCCATGGAATTTAGAAGCTTCCTTCTATTGGTTTATAGAAGAGAGAAGGCAACGTAAACTAAAAGATTAGATATCATCAAACTGGGCTATTTGAAAAAAGATTTACAAAATGTTAAAACTTATGATCAGACGGCCGTGTGCGAATTGAATGAATAGTTCGTTTTGATTAAACTATCACATACTGTAAATTTTTAATGACCAGTACAAAGTTTTTGTATATTAATGGGTCATGCTGGACTCGAACGGTTCAGATAGGTCGTGACACACTTTTATACAATGGGCATTTGTAACTATAAAACTTTCAAGACAGATTTTTTAAATCAATAGTAAAATAATATTTATAGCTAAGAATTTATTTTAATAAGTTAATCAATTTCCTCTAGCCTTCTGCCTTACTGTTCTTATCTATAATTCAGTTAGTACAATCCAACCTTGTAAATACGGTAGCAACACACACCGTTTTACAACAAATTCTTCTCAGCACAAGCTACACGGTTTTGGAATGGTTTGCCAGACTATTCGAGAAGCATAGTCAGTTACCATTCTCCAGAACTACTCACTCATTGATTATAATTCATCTCCGTAATAATTAAATATTCTTTAGAGGTATTTGTATGTACGTATGTATGTATTTCTTTGTGTATAATTTAGATATTGATTTGAAATGTATATATTTATTTATCATTTTGTAGTTGTTGCAACGTGACTTATAGTATTCTTTAATTTTACTGTATAGTTCATTCTGTTATTTTTTTTATGCAGGCACCCGCCATCGCAGAGGGTGTTACTGCCTTCTAGCACCTCCAATGTATATTTGGAGCCTATTGTCTATACTAGTCATTAATTACAGTTCAATCTTTTTCTACTACTATTACTCTATTTTACACACTGCCTTGGATACCGTCCAGGTGGGATTCCTGCTACGCTGTATATATTTGTTTCCTTTTTATTTAGGGTTATTTAATTTGACACGACAACAAAGTTTATATTTACATTATACTTATCCTATATATTACTTATTCTACTTAAGCTAGAAATTTCTTACAACTAAGATACAGTTTATAAACTGATTCTAAATATTTTGCACTACTATGCTATACAACTCACTATCTACTTATTGCTATCTTATATGATAATCAATAATAATTCTAACATTATTTTGTATTATTACTTTACTAGAATCTATTTCTTTTATTTTCTACCTTAATTATTTTTGTACAGTAAGCTATGAATAAATTTCTACTTTTGCTCTGCATAATTCTACTTTTTATAACCGTCACCTTAGTGTCCATTTCTAGTTTTCAGCAATCAGATGGGGGACGGTTTCAAGAGCATCCAGGTCACAAATGCATGATGGGTTCTCCTTACACTTGAAACGTGTCAAGTATTCTGAGAATCCACCATGCCCCGTTAATAACTGGGTCGTAGTGCCGGCGACCTCCATCCTGCATACGACGCCATATGCAGCCAGCACGCAGGGGAGAAAGAGCCTGGTAACGGAGGCCTCTTTGTGCCTCGTGTTCCATTGGCCAAGCGAGGGCTGTCGAAGACCCCGCTTCAAGAACGAAACAGGACACAAACCGTAGTCCGGTGCTTTTTTCAATCTTAGAGCCGCCTCCTAGGCGAGCTGGTCAGCTCGCTTGTTACCCCCCATAAGGATATCTCCCTACCCCTGGTCATGCCTTTTCGAATGGCTGCTCTGGCCTCCCTTGCCAGGTACCAGGAGGGTGTGACGGTTAATTACCGTCAAGAGTGCGGCTCCGCTATCACTGAAGATACCGAACATGGTTTCGCCTCGTCTGAGGACCTCACTGGCTGAGTTAGGTCATAGAGGGCGTCTTCGGTGCTCCTACAAACATTCATGATTCGACCCAGATCTCAGACCCAGCAAAACATTGGGAGTTATCACTTCATATTTACACTCCGTTCCCAAAAACGAAAAAAATACATGGAATTGCTAAATCAGCATTTCTCTTCTTCGTACATTTGACCAGACTAGTAAAGCACCCAAGATATCTTCCATGTTTCCAGCTCCTCATTACCCACCGTTCTACTTTAGTCAGTGCTATTTGTGATGTTATGAATTGTATAACATCCATAATTTCAAACGCTATCGGAAGTAATTATATACGTTGTAATATGATCCAGGCATTGATGAGGCAATTGATCAATTATTAGGTACCTTCCATATTTTCATCCTGTAATTTAAATTTAAACAGTAAAGTTGAGAAAAGAGAAAACTAAAAATTTCTTTTACAATATCCCACATTCTAACTTACTCTCTTTCTTTAAGCACTTTTCTAAAGGCAGTAAAAGAAGCACTACTTTTCCACAACCCAAAAAGAAAAACCTCCTTTCTACGGAGAGGCCTATGTCCAGCAGTGGATTACTAATGGATACTGTTGATGATGATGATGAAAAAGAAATATCCTGCATCCTTTTCGGCGTATCGTTCTGTTGCCACTGACGCGCACTAAATTAAACTCATTCTTTAATAAAAAACTTACTCCTAAATACTCTACGATCAGATATTTGACCAGTTTACGTTAAAAAAAAATGTATGTTTTTCGTTCATAATTCAAGCAAATAAACTAACAAAACTATCAAATATTTACAAATAATAAACAAATGAAAAAATCATATACAAACTTATCTTACAATATGGGGTCAAATAAGCTTTATAAATGAGTAAATTATTAGTTCCCGAGATTAGTGTTTTCGACCAAACACTCTTTTTTATAATATTAGTATGGATATGTGCATACATATGTCTTAACAGACCATATACTTGTAATATGTATTACTTTGCTTTGAATATACTTTCAACTACTTTTATTGTTTCCTTTTTATTACTGAATAAATATTTTATTATTCTCTTATACTTTTTCACACAAAAACCACCCATGCAATGGTCCATTTACAGTCGACTTTCCCACCCAAAGGTTTTTTGTAAGAATTTGGTTTTTAGCAATAAGACCGCCATTTCTAAGAAACATTAAAAGCAGAGTAAATTTTTAAAAAACACCAATGACGTCAATTTTTTTTATTTAACACTAGTTTCCATAGTCTGCTTAGTATTCACGTTTAATATATTTGCAGACATCTGACACACAATACCAGCAACACAATACCAACAAGTCCTCAATAGCAAAGTCGAACCTGTCCAAAAAGTAATATACACACGAGCACTACCCACCCGCAACACAATATGCTCATAAAGGAAATGAAAACAAGTTTAAGACTAAATTAAGAAAGAGAAAGAGGGACCTTGTCAAAGGACTACGGAATGCCAAAGCCATTTGTGATATCCACCTGAGCCACCAACTGGCCAGGGCTTTAAGATCAATACTAAAGACACACAAACAAACAAAACAAGTACAAATTGCAAACGAAACTAGCAACTTAAACAAGGCAAAGCATGAAATGGAGTTTGATGGAAACCCTTTTCAATATTCTAGAAATATCTTTTAAAGACAGCGGAAAGAAATATCCTCTAAAGAAGCGGCAAACTGCTTCTAATGACCGACCAGATATATACGAATATATTGTTCGATACGAACAATATAAAACTACGTACGAGGTGCCAACACATGAGAAGACCTATTATGAATCAAGTGCACAAAACCCAGCAAGCCCTCGTTTCAAATTTGATTGTAACCCTTGGCGGGTTAGAAGAAGTAGATACCCAAATTAGTAAGAAAAGTTCAAAATCAGCTCAATGGCCTGATGGTATACCATATATAGTATATAAAAAATGACCATCAGTGTGTAAACTTCTAAGTATATTCTGCAAGATCTGGTCGAGCAAAGAAATACCAACAGCCTTTGGAAAATCTAATTTTGTCCTCATTCAAGAAAATTGAAGTAATAGATCCCAGGGACACTAGACCGATAGCCTTTCCCAATACAATTTTTAAAATATTTTTCTCCTGCCTTCAATTTTATTATGTCAAACAATAATTATTTCAGACCAAATTACCTGAAAGGGTTCATGCCAGGAATCTTTGGATGTCTGGAACATAACTCATAACTTACGATAAGTTTCAAAGATGATCCGAAAAATGAAAAGCAAATTACAGTACGTTACGGTGAAGCCATATAAAGCTAAGAAATAGGTCTAGTTTTAAGAGCAGGGATAGATAGATTGATTGATAGACTTCTTAAAAGACTTTTTTTTTTCGTTAATACATACATATTAGACATAAAAAACACCCAAACTCCGAAACCAATATTTGCAGATTATACAAACATTTACTACGAACCGGAAATCGAACCCGAGCCCTCAGCACAGGTCTCGCATGCGCTTCCACTGCACCACCGCGGCAGCTAATAAAATTAAACGAATTTACTTGATTGTCTATTTTCGTATTCACAGTATGTACGTCAATACT